AACTGAAATGAAGCTGGTGTAGTTGTAATAACAGCAGATAAAATATACTTTAAGGTAGAAAGCATCATCAGAGATAAAGAAGGGTGTAATAAGAAAAGGATCCATTCCAGAGGAAGCATAGCAATTCTAAATCTGAAACATCTAATAACATCATCTCCAAATATATAATAAAAATGCCAGAAAAAAAGAGAAAAGACAAATCCAAATCATGATGAAAGATTTAAACACATCTCTGTAAGTAGCTAATAGAATAAGCAGGCAAAAAAAGAAAAATCAGCAGAGCTATAGATTTGAACAAAATAATTAATAAACTGGGACTGATATATTAATATATAGAACACTGCACCTCAAAACTGTAAAATATATCTTTTCAAGTGTTCATGGGACATATGCAAAAATCAACCATACACTTGGCTACAATGCAAGTTTCAACATGGTTTAAATGATTCAAATCTCAGTATATGTTTTCTGAACAGAAGCAGTGGTTATTTGAGTATATAAAAAATCATCAAGCTGCACATTTATGTTATCTGACCCTTGCATTAAATATATTAAAAAAAAAAAAAAAACACTTTTCCACTGCCAGTCATAAATTCCCTTCCATCAAGTTTCACTTATATCTATGCTATTTTATTTACCTTGTTCTGTTTATTCTTACATACATCTCTAAATATACACATTTTGAATGGCAGGCACTTTTCATATGTTTATATATGTTATTCCAGTAAACTTTCAGAACCATCCAAACAGATAAGTCTTTTAACCCCAATTTTATAGACACGGAAAGTGAGAATTGGAAAGTAACTTGCAATGACCACTAAGCAGTGCTGAGTCAGAACTGGAACTCAGAACTCTGATTCACAGCCTTGATTCTTTACAAAGCATGCTGTAATACCACTCTTGAGTATTACTCCCAATTTTCTCCCCTTGCATTTCCCTCCCTAGATTATTAAACACCTCAGTAAAAATTCAGCATCTATTGAGTACCTCCTTTATGCAGTTCTGGTTTCATTCTTGGCCATACAGAAATGAAATAAACAGTCCCTCCCCTTAAAAAGCTCAGTCCAGGACTTCCCTGGTGGTCCAGAGGTTAGGAGTCCACCTGTCAAAGCAAGGGACACAGTTTCCATCTCTGGTCCAGGAAGATTCCACATGCCTCAGGGCAACTAAGCCTGTGCACCATGACTACTGAACTTGTGAGCCCTAGAGACCGTGCTCTGCGGCAAGAGAGGCCACCACAATGAGAAGCTCACGAACCGCAACAAGAAAGTAGCCTCTGCTCACCCCAATTAGAAATAGCCTGCAGGCAGCAACAAAGACCCAGCACAGCCAAAAATAAATCAATTTTTTAAAAAAGAGCTAGGTCCAAGGGAAGAACCACATAAATTATAACGCAGTGTGATAAGTGCTATATAGAAGTGTATACCTTCTCCACCGTTCTTCTGTTCCCTCTGACCTTCATGAATCAGTTACATAATTTTATCGGGTTATTTTTCTTCCTTTTCCTTCAGTTTAAAAGTCCTCTAAATGAAGATAGCAAGCATCCTGCTAAATACATTCTTCTAATTTTTGTGAAATTCAGAGTGGCACAGAAGAGGCTGGAAGCTTCCCAAACAGGGTAAATGGTGAGTAAAGGCCAGGGTCAGAGGGAGGAAGATCTACTCAGGCCACTAAAGAAACTAGCCTGATGGGAGCTGGCACTGAAAGATGTGTTTGAAAAGCCAGGGTGATGCCAGATCCAGACTAAAGACTGCTTGGAATGCCAGGTCAAGACACATGCTTGGGCCACTAGGCAACAAGGACCTATTGTAAATGATCAACTCTGACTGATAAGATTAAAATGTTATTTTAAGGTTGCTCAGGCAGCAACGTTTCAGAGAGACTGAAATTAGGAGATAATCTGAGAGTTAGGAGGCTAGTAAAGCTCAACAAACACTGACTGAGAACTTGAGTCCCACACAGTGGAGATAGGGAAACGAAAGCCAGTTCCTACCTTTGAGGAATTCATAATCAATTGAGAGAAACAACCAAAATGTAATGCAATAGATACGATGACACTCAACACAAACCTAGGGTAGATAAAGTATGATGAGAGAGGGGAGTCTGATGTAGCAAGGCAAGGCAAAGACAGAGAGCTGGCACACTCCAGCTCTTTTTTTTTTTTTTTTAAGCTGCACTGCATAGCATGTGGGATCTTAGTTCCCAGACCAGGGATCAAACCCTCACTCTCTGAAGTTGAAGTGCAGAGTCTTAACCACTGGACCACCAGGGAAGTCCCCACACTCCAGCTCTTCAGCCTCACCTGCTGACATAGTTAGCTATGAGGAAAGGGAAAGAGAACCTTAAAGGGCAAGGTAATAAGCTGGCCCAGCCCAACAAGATTATGACCCACACAGTTAATGATGGGGAAAGAGGAATGTTCTCTTAACAATGATCAAGCCAGAGGGCATGGTCAGGGAGTAGATCAGCTCAGTTTACTTCCAGGATTCTCTCTAACCCTCATCAGCTGATCGGAAGAAAGCAAGTATTGTAGGTTGGCAGACCAGGAAGGAAGCTAGAAAACTAGTTTAGGTGACAGAAGATAGAAAATGGTTGTCTAAAAAAAGATTAAGGATGGAATTGACTGGTCCCAGAGAAATTTTGGAGATTTCAGTGTTCTATATCTTGGTTAGGAAGCTTGCTTCAAGTAAGTGTACAACGTCAAAACTCAATGAAGTGAACACTTAAGAACACTGCATTTTAGGGAATTCCGGGGCAATCCAGTGGTTGGGACTCCATGCTTCCACTGCAGAGAGCACAGTTTGGATCCCTAGTTGGGAAGCTAAAATCCCACATGCCATGCCAAAACAAAAAAAAGGCATTTTATTGTAGGTAAATTATGCTTCACTAAAAAAGAAATGCTATAATCAAATTATAAAATTTGAGGAGAGATAAAAGAAGACTAGAACAGCTGAGACTCAACACGGGAAATTTGGGACTTCCCTGGTAGTCTAGTGGTTGAGAGTCTGCCTGCCAATGCAGGGGACACAGGTTTGACCCCTGGCCCGGGAAGATCCCAGGCTTCCCAGGTGACAGCAGTGGTAAAGAACCCACCTGCCAATGCAGGAGATATAAGAGACACAGGGTCTATCCCTGGGTTGAGAAGATCCCCTTAAAGAGGGCACAGCAACCCATTCCAGTATTCTTGCTTGGAAAATTCCCATGGACAGAAGAGCCTGGTGGGCTACAGCCCATGGGGCCGCAAAGAGTAGGACATGACTGAGGCGACTTAGCACACACACATGCTGGGAAGATCCCACATGCCAAAGGGCACCTGAGCCCACATGATGCAACTACCAAAACTCGAGCATGCTAGAGCTCTGCAACAACAGAAACCACCAGCAAGAAAAGCCCAAACACCACAAAAAAGAGTAGCCCCTGCTCACCGCAACTAAAGAAAGCCCCTGGAAAGCAATGAAGACCCAGCACAGACAAAAATAAATAAAAATATTTTTTAAGAGGGAAATTAAAGCCCAGGAAAAGTTTCCCAACCAGTCTGAGAACCAAAGGAATTTTGGTATTTGAGGAAAGAGTAACTGACATCTATTATTTGCCAGACCCTAGACTAGACTCTTTCACATATTTCAAGTTTATCTCCAAACCCAACAATGTCCAGCTAAACTCAGTATTGTGACTAGTCCAGGGAGAGAATGAAATGGGTTTGTGAAAGGAGGTGGAGAGCTCAGATGAATGGAAGATTTTATGCAGTGTGCAGTGTAGACTGTGAAGTAAAAGATGTATAAGGGCTGGGTACAGTCCCAAAGGCAGAAGCGGGAGAGGAAAATGTGAGAGAAAGGCAAGGAATATAGGTAATGCCTCCAAGGAATTTCTTCAGAAACTTGAAAAATCAGAAAACTGGGTCCATCTTTTGACTCAATCTTCTCTTTCACAAATTAAGGAGTGAAATTTTTTTTAGGAGTGAAATTTTTTATAATCAGATTTAACAAGTCAGAACTCAGGGACTTCCCTGGTGATTCAGTGGCTAAGACCCCTGGCTCCCAATGCAGGGGGTCTGAGTTTGATCCTCGGTTAGGGAACTAGATCCCACATGTACCAATTAAGAGTTTGCATGCTTCAACCAAAGATCCTGCATGCCTCAATGAAGATTCAGTACAGCCAAATAAATTAATTAAAAAAAAACAAAAACTCTGACATTGAAATATTTAATAGGTCTGGAAGGATATGCATTAAACCATGAACCATGACAGAGGGAAATTACATACCTACTGTATAGTGTTGCATTTTGCCTCAGTGAGTATGTGCTGTTTCTTTCTGTTTTTCTTTTAAACCAATTAAATTCTGTTAAATCTACTGTGGGATCAAGGAACTGTGCTGGTAAAAACTCAGACCTCCTTCTGGTGGCACATGAGGAGCTCCTCATACCTGTGATCTATGCTTGGGATTGGGGGTGGCATCCATTCCTTCACCCCACTGCCTGGGAGAACCATTTCATTTCCTTAACCCAGTGACAAAGTCTGAGGGAAATGAGGTTGGGGCTGGGGACCTGAAGTCCTAGAGCAACGGTACACAAACTTTCTATAAAGGACTAGATACTTCAAAGAACATATAGTTTCTGTTGCAACTATTCTCCCATTTTGGCACAGTAGTAGTCACAGACAATGTGTAAACAAATGGTCATGGTAGCAAGACCAAGTGGGCCATAGTTTACTGACCTCTGGTCTAGTTCTGGCTCCTTACTGCATATCAGAATTACTTGAGGGCCTTGTAAAACCAGCTCCCACCAAATCTGAGATGAGGCCCAAGTTGTTTTTTTTTTTTTTTTTTTTTAAGCTACCAGGTGATTCTGGATTATAGTCTTTCAGCAAACTTCCAGGTGTTTTGGTTTTGGTTTTGGTTGGGGGGCAGGTGAATGCTGGAAGAAGGACCGAAGGCTGAATTGAAGTCTAGGTTATGATTAGAACTGTTTTCAGTCCACCTGACAAATTAAGTGCTTCCAATACTTCGATTAAATGCTCTTTATTTGCTGCTTTTCATGCACAGCACTGTAAGAAGTTGCTCAACCCAACAAGAGCCCCTTCATCACTCTTAGTTAAGGCGGCCACTGGCAGCGGGGAGGGAGCATTCAGTAAGCCACATTCTACCTAACCTTCTTTCTGGAGCCATTCTCTATAGGCCCCTTCATAGTTCCGAGCCCTGTGAAAACAAAATAGGGGTGAGGGAAGGACAGAGCCCAGGGGGCAGTCCCCAGGCACCACCGCCCCCACCCTCTTACCAAGCCCATACCCTTTGTATCCAAGGCTCTGGGCCAACTGCGTGGCCTGCAAGCCCCGCTTGCCCATCTGACAGAAGAAAATGAGATTCTCTTCCAGCTTTGGCTTCTCAGCGGAGTACAAGGCCTTGAAAGCAGCTGGCTCCATCTGCAGGGCGCTTTCCAACTCTGAAACTGGGAGGAGGAGTCGAGAGGATACAATGGAAAGCCGGCAGTCGGGCAATCTCAGGTTCAGTGGTTGGGTCTGGAAGGACCGGTCCTGTGGTCGAACACATCTCCAAGGTGCCCCAAAACAACACATGGTGACAACTCCTCCCCCCTCCGCCCCCACCCACTTCAAGGACAGGATACGTCCTACCTGCCCAGGAGGTCAGCCAAACCACCTCTGAATGGAAGCCACTTCCCTAGTTTGTGAGGAGGCGCGGGCAAACTCAGGCATCCAGCTTTGGAGAGGTCAAGCATGTGAATCCGGCCTGCCCCTTCCTCATTGCCCCCTCAAACTGGAAGGGCCAGTTCCTCTGCCAAGATCCGCCTCCCATCAGCCCTTCTTAAGCGAAGTTTGGGGGCCAGGAGCCACAGGAATACCGGACCCCTGTAACCTGTGCCTTCCCACATCATCCTAAATGAGGTCCTATTGGCTAAGACCCTCCTAAACTGTCTCCAATCCACCACCAGGGCTGCCCCCCTCAATCCCGTACCCGGGATGTTGAGAGCCCCAGGGATGGTTCCAGCCGCCGCCTCCTCCCGGGATCTCACGTCAAAGAGCCGAGCCCGGCCCGAGGCCAGGAGCGAACGGAGTTCAGGGAGCGAGACCGTAGGCTCTGCGGAGAGGGGCACGCGAGCCTTGAGGGAAGCAGGACTGCCGCCCGCTGGCCTGCCGCGGGGCCCCCCTCACCTGGCGGCGGATGCGTGAGGACCCCTCCGCCACTCCCCTTCGCGCCTCCCTCCGCGTGCACCTCCACCGGGGGCGTTCCGAAAGCTCCTAAGGCCACAAGTTAGTCTAGACCGGATCCCAGGTCTCCCCTGCAGGTACCTCCAGCCATGGTGCGCACCGCAAATGTGAGTTTCAGGAACTTGGCCCCGGCCCGCCCCCTGGGAGCGGGCAGCATCTCCCCCGCCCTCCTGAAGCTGCAGCTGAGCCGAGACCCACCGGAACCGGAAGCAAAGGCACCGCCTCCCGCACAGCCCCCGCCGCACCTGTTCCCGGTGCTCCTAACACTGGCCAGAGAAATCCTCGCGATTGCGGGCGTGGACGGCCAATGACACATTGGCCCGGCCCAAGTAGAAGCAGTAGGACTCATTGTCCTAACTATAGGAGCTCCGATACCCGACCCAACCTTGACCCAACCCTTACTGGTCAAAGCAATGTGTTCCCTCCCTCCCAGCCTGGAGCCCACAAAGGGAGGAAGACCCAGAGACAGTTATGGCTCTGAACATTTTATCTTTAAAAAAAAAAAAAGGAAAAAAAAAAAAAAACCGTCCCCACAATGGGGTAAGGCCCCCAGTGGGCCCTGCCTCTTGTTCTCCGTGGTGCCAGAGACCTGCATAGGCCTCAGCTGCTTGCTGGCCAATCTCCTCTTCCTGGGGCAGCAGCCACTGCTAGGCCTCCGATCCCCACTTCCTGCTAAAGCCTGTTCCCCAGAGTCCGGAGGAGCACGTCTGAGCTCCAGGGAAAGGAAGAACCAGTGGAAGCGCCAGTCCTGGGGCAAGCCAGGACACTGCTTGTCAGCAGACCCTCTGCTGGCACTTGAAGCAAGCAGGGGGCAAGCCCCCCAGTTTAGTGTGTCCAGCGTCCAGCATGGAGACAGCACATGCATTGTGCAGGAGGAGCGCAGGGGCCCAGGGGCTGCGCGGGAGGGTTGGTTGGGCGAGACTGTCGCTGCACACCCACGGTGTGTGTTTCACACCACTGCAGGCTGCTAGATCTCAGGGCCTTAATTCAAAGAGACGCCTTCTGAGCTCCCCCCAGTCCCATGCCAGATGTGGGCAGTGAAGGAAAAGGGCGTGGGGTGATTAGCCTGTGGCTCCCGGGCTATCTGAAGTTCTCGGAAAGGGGCTGGAGAGCTTGGAGCCCCTGCACCCCCAGAGTTAGTTGCTGTCACTCTTGATGACAACCTCCACTCCGTGGTGCCGCAGCTGAGCTCGCAGCAGCAGATTCTTGTTCTTAAGTTCTTCTACCTGGACATGGGAAAGAGCAGTAAGGGAAACAGGTAGAAAAGTTAGCACACCCAAGTCTCTGAACTTATTCAGACACCCACCAGTGATGAGGTATAGATAAACCTCTATGGAAGACAAAATAGGGAGTCCCGAGCTGGGTTGGTGGCTAGGGAGGGAGGTTGAGGACAGCTGTACTGGGGGGNGGGGGGGGGGGGGGGGTCCTGACCTGCTGTCGAAGCACATCGTTGTCCAGCTGTAGTTGGTCAAGCCCCTGCAGCTCTTCAGACAACCGGTGGTTACTCTGCCGAAGTTCCTGGATATAATCACAGGCTTTGGATAGAATTCCACCTTTACTCTGTTAAGAAAAAGCCAACAAAATAAGGACTAGGATATAAAAATACCTGGCTTGCTTTCCAAAAGCATGTTCACACTCTGGACCTTGTTTTCCCTTAAAGGATGGTGGAATAACATCTCCCAGGGATTCAGGAACCTCAGAGACAGATAGGAAAAAACTACTGCCATGTGTGCCCACTCTCTACCATTTCTGGAAGCAATGCCAGGAGACAGAATTCAGGCATCCTGGCCACTACCAGGGTCTTTCCATGACCTGGCCAGACTTGGTGCTCTCCATGGAGCAGTCTGGGATGATCTTGGACAGCTGTACAATCCAGTTGTTAATCTTGTCGCGGCGGCGGCGCTCCACTGTGGGGCAAGCAGAGGACACGGTGACTCGGGGAGAACTCACCAAAGGCCCCAGGGTAAAATTACCTAACCTCTCCCTTCAACATCATAGAGGTCCCCAATTCCACCAGACAGCTCCAAGCTTCACATGCAGATCATGCCTACCTTCATTATGCTGAGCCCTGCGTTTCTCATCCCGAGTTGTCCGGGGAGCTTCTGACTTCCTAACAATAGAGCCCAGGGGGGCCAGAGTAAGGCAAGGTCAAAAACTGAGATTGGAGTTTGGGGTGAGGAACCACACCAAATCTTTGGAAAGAATCAAGACTATTCCTGGTAACTGAGAGGAAACGGGTTACTCACGGGGAATAAGGGTGGGTCCTGGGGGCAATAGAGCGCTGGCTGCCTCCTTGCAGCACTTCTTGTGGTGACATCATCACAAAGAACTGACCTGTGAGGATGCAGGGGAGGTTCTGTCAGGACGTGGAACTAGACACTCACCAAGCTCTAAGGCCAAGGCCCTGGGATCCTCCTCTAAAAAAAGACATACTGCCTCCTGCTGGAAGGGCAGCCCCAGACTCACTGCCTGCCCAGGTCTTAGTGATCATCAAGGGATCATGAGTAAAGGCCCACTGCCCACCAGCCACGTCCCGCAGCCTATCCTAGCCCCTCCAGCCAGCATCCTCACATAGTATCTCACCAGTGCCAGGAGGGGTCGCCTGCCCCAGTAGTGCCTCTGAGCCCTGGGTAGTAACAACAGCTGCTGTACTCCCCGATGTGGTACCCCCTGCCCCATCTCCCACTGCAGTGCTGGGGAAGTAAGTATAGTGCGTCTCAGCAGCTGTCCCCTCTGTGTCAACTGCATCATCACTCGTGAACGCACCCTGGATCACGGCCTGGCAAGGGGAGCAAGAGAACAGAGACAAGTGACAGTCAGATACTTCCCATGAACTACTCTGCAGCTCTATCTCTTGTGAGGAGACAGGGAGAAACATCCAGAGAAGAGTCTAGTGCTTTGGGTCAGGGCAGCCCCAGATATCTCACTATCCCTAGCCACGCCCATCCTACTAGTTCCCTTCTTCATCTTACTACTCAGAGCTCAAGTCCCCTCTGCAGCCCACACCCGTGTACCTGGGTCATGGATTGAGTGGCAGGGTAGCCACTGATGGCACCAGTCCCCTCAGTCTGGCCATCCAGCTGCCCTTCAGACACCTGGATCACCCTGTACATCACCTAGATTCAGGAAAGGGAGGAAGGGAAGAGAAAACAAGAGAGTAAGTGCTAGGGACTCCAGAGCTCCTCATAAAGCTTCTCTTGGATGCCCCCCCCCCCCCNCCCCCCCGCAAAAGAATCCTTCAGAGATGTGTATTTAACCATTTCCCCTCCTTTTCCCATATAGTGGTTTCGGCATAGCCCCCACCCCATACCAATCTCTACTGTAAACCTCATATTCCAGCCCCTCCAACTCCCACCCTCCAATTAGTCCACATCTTCACCTCATCCTCCAAACCAGGTCTCCCCATGATAGGTTCAATCACCTCCCTCAATGCCAACCCCAGGTAACACCTGCAGTCACCTGGCCCCCTCCCTTACCTGGCCCCCATTTTCAGTTCGGAAGACGTACTTGACGTTGGGGTCAGGGAAAGTGGCAGCTGACTGGATGCTAGCTATAGCCACACTGGTGGGGTCCTCCCCAGTTGCCACTGCGCCTGAATTAAAAGGAAAAAGTCTGTGAGTTCCGGCTTTTCTCCCTCTGTTGCACCTGTGTGTCATTTAAAACGAGAAGGGTACACAGGTGATAGGCCCATGGGGTGTGGGGTGAGACCACAATGAGCTGCTGGTCTCAGCTCAGTTCTGTTTCTCCCACTCACCTTCCTGAATCTGCACTGTCCCCTCTTCAGTTTCTGCTGTTTTCTGCTGCCTGTTTGTGAAGGGACAAGAGGAAGAAATAAGGGGAAAAAGTCACTGGCCCAGTAACATATGGCTCCCAAACTCACTGGCATTCCCAACAGATGCTAGGGGAGGTTAGAATAACCAGAGCTGGTATATACCTAGCACTGAGCCAAGCATTTAACAGGCAATATCTTATTTAGTACTAAGAACAGCAATTATGAGTAGGTAGAACTACTTGCATTTTATAAACAGATTACATAGCTAGGTGATATAGCTGGGACCTAAATTGAGGTCTGCCTGACTCCAGAGCCAGTGCTCCTAGCCATTTTGCATTCTCCCAGGGCTCCCATCTCCCATTCCAGACCCTACCTCTTCTTCACTCACCCCTTCATCTCTCTGTGAGGGGGCACATCCGAGGAACTGGTCCTTCTTTGGAAATCTTCGTATCTCCTGCCTCACAGGCCTGAGTGCTAAGTCCTGGTAGAAATCAGGGAGTCTAGTGAGTCTAGGAAACTGAAAGCTCTCCTATTTCTAGAACCGAGGCTCCATGAAGACACATCCAGGAACATAACCAATCTTCTGCAAGGGACAACCAGCTTTCTCCATTCTAATGCTGAAGGCTGCCTACAGTGACTGAAAAAGCAATTCTACAAATAAGTTCCTCACCTCTCCAATTCTCACTCCATCTCCTGATGGAGAGGGGATAATTACACTGAAAGACTGAAACATATTTCTGGATGGATGATTATTAAAGCTATTATGATCTGCCATGATATCGGGATAAGGAGGGGCCATGTTTAGACCACCGCTATCAAAAAAATACAGGACCATAGACCCTGATACTTATTCCAGTTCCTCAGGCACACATACTGAACACCAACAAATACCTGTCCTCAGATCTAGGAAAAGAAAACCTCCAGAACCATAAAGGCCAGACTTGGCCCTTGGGCCCCATTCTACTGATCCGGCTGTTGTTTGGGGAAGTCCAGATATATGTCATTCATTAAAAAGACCGTAAAGCCCTAGTGTATCATCTTCAAGCCCCTACTATTTTATTCACCAAGCCTTCCTGTAGAACAACACAGTTGCTAAAATGTTGCCATGACAACTCCAAATCAACTGAACCCAGCGAGAAGGGAGAAAACTCCAGGGTTCGGAAAGAGGAGACAATGGGGGAGGAATCCATCCACAAGGTGCCTGCCTTAAGACCCTGACCGGGGCGGGGCGGGGCGGGGAGTGTAAAGCAATAAAATAATCTCGACAGGAAAGGGATAAGGTTTTTGTAAATTCTCTACCCATAAGGTCCCCCAAACCTTTATCTTCAGCGGATGAGTCATGGAAAGCTTGTATCCAAAGTGTTAACCCCCAAAAAAAGGAACTGAAAGTGAAACCGTCCAGAGGAAGTAGCGCTGCAAGAAGATCCCAGTCCCTAAGGGGGAAGTAGGACTGGTGTT